GGCTAGAGAGTATATTTTATTTTATTTAAAAAAATTTTTTTTAGTTGTAGATGGACACAATACATTTATTTTATTTGTGTATTTTTATGTGGTGCCAGGGATCGAACTCAGTGCCTCATGCATGCTAGGCAACACTCTGCCCACTGAGCCACAACCCCGGCCCCCAGAGAGTACATTTTAAAGAACTAGGTTAGCTGCTTTTAACGAATGCATCAGATTACCATAAAAAGTGTGGGGGTGGTGGTGGTTGTGGGAGCGCGTGGGGTGAAGCCCACAAAAGTAAAACAAATCTACCATCCCTCAAAAGTAACATAAACCCCCTTGTAGCTAACTCTTGACAGCTACCTTTATTCATAGTGCTTGTATTTATTTTTATTTTTAATTTATTTTTTAGTTATAGGTGGACAAAATATCTTTATTTTATATTTATGTGATGCTGAGGATCGAACCCAGTGCCTCACACATGTTAGGCGAGTGCTCTACCTCTGAGCCACAACCCCAGCCCCAGTGCTTTATATTTAAACCATGGTTGGGGAAATGAATAAAAAGCAGAGAGCCATTGCTTGTGCTTTATAATAGGGAATCAGGACAATACAGATTTGTTTTGAGGTTTTATTCTGTAATGTCTCTGAGACCATTCACATTAAATGCAAACCAAAAGATAAGAAGTTCTTGGTAGAATGGAAGTGATGCAAACTGATTGGACCAGTTTAAATATTATTCATGGCATACAGCCTAGTTCATGGTCTGGCTGTTCATAGGACTTGGGCTTCATTGGTCTTCCACTGCTCCACTACATTGCTAATGGACTCTCAGGATGAGGGACATTTAATGAAGCCTGAATGCCTAGCAGAACTATGTGAATCTGCAGAGCTGGGGACCATTTATCTTTCAGAATATCCAAACATCATCATCCCAAGTTATCTACATTAGGATTATAAATTTTGGTTATGAGATAGGTGCTGGTATGGGGTATTTTCTGGAATGAATAGTTCAAGCTTTAAAGTCCGTCCTTAAAAGAAAAATCTTTGGGGATAGCCATGACCCCATGAAAATAATAGCTTCTGCTCTCCTCTGGTTCTGCTGTAATGTCAGCAACTGGTTCTGCCAGCAAAGGCTAGGTTTCCTGATGATCCTGCAGGGCAGACTTCCTAAAGGCCGTCTTGTCAGGTTCCCAAGTTGGCCTCTGGACTGGTGTCTCTCTCTGCTCCCCACATGCAGGGGTCTAGAGTTGATTGTTTTAAAATATGCCTTGAGATAGGGATAAAATTTCCTCCTCCACCACCACCATCACCAGGATGGCTAGTTGCCCAGGCCTGTTATTAGTCTATCCTTTTCTTAATGATTTTAATGATTTTTTTGAGTTTTCATAGATTCATGAGATACTAATTGTTAATTCTGTAATTATAATTTTCAGTTTCATAGTATCTTTTTTTCATATTTAGTTAAGTACTTGTGTTGTTTATTAATTGGTTCAGTTTTTGAAGCATTCAGTGAAGAGAAAGCAGAAAGCCTATTATGTGCCAGATACTCCAGGCATGAGCTCCAGCTATAAATGAAGTCACTACCCTCAGGGAGCTAAATTTCTAATAAAGGAAAAAGACATGTAATAAAGCTCTTCCAGTAATTGATAATTTGTCCAATGAGAGAGTGGCTTTTTTGCTTATGAGGGGATATGCATATAGGGAATGTATTTTATACAAGGACTTCAGATGTGTTTCTCCATTTTACACAAGTCAAAGGCTGTATTAATTCCTGGAATACAGAAACACCCAGGTCACCCTACAAAGCCAGCAAAAACTGTGTCAGTTCACGTGCTTTCTTCTCAGGGTTTTAACTTACTCTTCTATTTTATCTAGGTAAAATTTCTAGGTATCTGAAGCAGAAGGGTTTCTGACTACCAGTCATATTACTGGGACCAAAAACCTTAGGTTAGTTTCTATTTTCCTCCTTAATTAAAACCATTATGTCTTCAGGAAGTGCTAGTGGTTGATTAACAAGAGGTTTGGTTTAGCAAAAAATCAAAGATGTTCCTGGAATTTGGGTAGCTGATATTTTTAGTTCTGAAGACCTTTTTAGATTTTTCTTTATTGTTATTGGTGTTTAGGGAAGGATATGAGAGGGTGATTAGAGAGGTCTGTGCTTGTTTTCCTAAAGGAGATACTTTTTTTTTTTTTAATTAATGTAGTTTTATAAATGCATATAATTGTTCCAGTACTTCCATCAAATTTGTTTTTGGTCTGTGTTTTGTGTAGGCCTAACTTGATATGCTAATGCATTAAGCCATTCTTTTATTCTTGAAGTAAATGCCCTTTAGTATATTTGCTTATATTTTGAGTAGAAGTTTCTATAATAAATCCTGATTTCTTCAAGTTTTAAGATGCATTTTTTTCCTATGATTAGAAATAATGAAAATATAAAGTTTGAAGAAATAAATATGACCTTTCCCCCAGGTTTAAATGATCCTTTGGGGGGGGATTTATATAAACTACCTCAATTTATTATTTAAGCTGATTTTTTTCCTTATATAACCTGTTTCTGTATTAATTTTCAAAGAACCATGTTTCAATAATTATTTCTTAGAATCGAAACTTTTTAATGGGGTATGTGTATGAGAGAGAGAGAGAGAGACAGAGACACAGACAGAAATACGTACTAGGGATTGAATTCAAGATGCTTTACTACTCAGCTACATCCTCAACATTTTTTATTTTCTATTCTGAGACATGGTCTCCTAAATTGCAGAGGCAGGCCTAGAACTTCTAATCCTCCTTCCTTGCTTCCTAAGTAGCTGGGATTATAGGTACGCACCACCCAGAACTCTTTTCTTTTTGACCTTATCAAATCTATTTTCCCTTAACTTGGCAAATGCTAAAAGTTCTCTTATGAAGCCTAATTTTTTGAAATTGTGTTATAGTATGCTTTTATTTCTCTTGGTCATATTTTTTTAAAACAGGTTTTTCAAAAGATCTTTTCATTTTTATTGTGGTCAGAATGGGATATGAATTTAAGATGTATTTTTAAAATACTTCTTTGAAATTATAACTAGAGCTGAACCGCAGTAATAATGCTTTCTGCCTTTTCCTCTAGTTAATTGCTATTACTGATAAAGCAATAACTTTATCCATTAGAATTGCTTGTCACTTTATTTTTGTGCTTTTGTGTTTTTTGTTTTCATCTCTTTGGTTTTTCTGAGGGACTGGGATGGAACCCAGGGCCTTGTGCATGCTACTCAAGCACTCTTTTTTTTTTTTTTTTTTAAAAAGATGGAGAGAGGAGGGAGGGAGAGAGAATTTTTTAAATATTTATTTATTTATTTTAGTTTTCCGCGGACACAACATCTTTGTTTGTATGCGGTGCTGAGGATCAAACCCGGGCCGCGAGCATGCCAGGCGAGCGCGCTACCGCTTGAGCCACATCCCCAGCCTCAATCTTCTCATATTTTTACAATTTGCTCCTCTTTATGAACTTACTTTAAGGGGCACAAAGAGATCTCATTCTTTTCATTTTTAGCTGCCTTTCTTCATTGTATAATTATTTTTTCACAGTAATTTCAACCATCTGTTCATATTGACCATAGTTTATTTGATGAGTCTTTAAATCCTGTATGCCACTTGTAAATTTTCTGAAAACTTCGAAGACATGGAAGGAAAAATGTCTGCTATGAACCATAGCTTTGTTGGTTAAAAAAGTAAACCCAACTGGACAGCTTCAGTTAAGTGTCTTGCTAATTTTGTTATATGAGATTACTTGAGGTAACTTCCTTTTAGTCCTTTATGGGAACATTTACTTTTTAAAAAATTTGTAGAATTTCCATTTACTCTTGCTTATTCACTTTTGTATATTATTTGGATCATCTCTCCAAAGTCTTTACTTATACAAGTTACTGTTCTGTAGGTCTGCTTTCTCCAGTTCCTTTCATGTGATATGAGATGTTTTAAGTTTCTTCTTCAGATAATGCATTATGTTGAGAGGTGCACCCCAAAATTGGATCAACTGTTTTTAAAATTTGACTTGAAACTTTCCATTCAGTTCAAAAATTAGTGTTCTCTGAATTATTAATGCATTCTTAAAGATTTTTTTTTAAAATGTATTTTTAGTTATACATAGACACAATATCTTTAATTTTATGTGGTGCTGAGGATTGAACCCAGTGCCTCAAATGTGCAAGGCAAGCACTCTGCCACTGAGCCACAACCCCAGCCCTCTTAAGATTTTTCATTCACTGGATCTAGACTTTGCATTGACTCATTCTCCTTTGGATTTATCTTCATCTGTTTCTTCTAAATGTTAATAGCTTCAAATTAAAAGTATTCCACATTCCAACTGATGTAGGGGCTTTTATTATTTTTATTCAAAGAACTTTTTTTTTTTTTGTACGGAGGATTGAACTTGACCACTGAGCCACAACTCCAGTCCTATTTTGTATTTGTTTTTATTTAGAGACAGGGTTTCTCTGAGTTGCTTACCACCTTGTTGCTGAGGCTGGCTTAGAACTCATGATCCTTCTGATTCAGCCTCCTGAGCTGCTGGTATTACAGGTGTGCACCACTGTGCCTGGCTTTTTTAAGTGGTGCTGAGGAGAGGATCGAACCCAGGGCTTCACCCATGCTAGACAAGCACTCTACCACTGAGCTAACAAAACCAGCCCTTAATCTACTTTAAATGAGGGTTAAAGTCCCACAATTTCAGCTAGTCCAGAAGGTCATTTAACTGGATGTTAATTCACCTAAATTGTCTCCTTTTAACATAAGGTCAAGAGTGTTTCTAAGTGACATAAACTATTCAGTGGGTTCTGTATTAACCTGTTTTTGTACCATCATCCCAGATACAAATATATCATATATTGTAATTACAAAATAGTTTTAATGTTTATTATGTTAGCAGAATTACACACTTGGGACTTGGTGGATTATAAGTCATGGTATAACTCAAAATGCTGAGGCAGGTTGGTTAACTCAGCCTTGCCTTCCATAGCAATGCTCTTATTTCTTTCTTAGCGGAAGAAAAAGCCAATACCCACCTCCTTCTGGGCATGTGCTTAGACTCCTGTGCACGCTACCTTCTGTTCTCCAAGCAGCCATCACAGGCACAAAGGATGTATGAAAAAGCTCTGCAGATTTCTGAAGAAATACAAGGAGAAAGACACCCACAGGTAAAGGAGGAAAACACGCAGTGCCTTAATGCCACACATTGGGAACAGAGTCAGCCCCAGTTCATTCAGTTTCTTACCACCAGTGTCCCTGTCCCTGACTGCTTGTTTCAGAAAAGATTTGAGATTACTGATCCGTCACTACCAGGGAGGTTTAAGCAGGCACTGTGTGCTTCTGTGGCTTCAGAGCATATCGTGTGGTATTTCAAAGTGGAGTCTGCAGACCCCTGACTAGAATCTTGTAAGAAAGTTATACATGAGTGTCCTTGCCTCCCTTGCCCCACAGTTAAAGAACTTTTTGGTTTTTTTTTTTGTACCAGGATTGATCTCAGGGACACTTATGGACTGAGCCACATCCCCAGCCCTATTTTATATTTAATTTAGAGAGAGAGTCTCACTGAATTGCTTAGTGCCTTAGAGTCTCGTTGAATTGCTTAGTGCCTCACCTTTGCTGAGGCTGGCTTTGAACTTGGGATCCTCCTGTCTTATCCTCCTGAGCTGCTGGGATTACAGGCGTGAGCCACTGTCCCTGGCTGGGACTCATGTTATAATACTGAACATGTTAAATTGAAATCATCCCTTTCTCTTCTATCAGAATAAATTCTCAAGTGCTGAGGAGTAGATTGCTTTATTTGAAAGCTTGCAGTTCCCAACCTAAGACCCACTGGATTGAACATGGAATGTTTGGGAAGGGAATTTGAGGTACAAATTATCTCCAGGAAAGGGATTTTGGACTTATTAAAAGAGAGTGCCTTATGAGAGTATCATTGAGGAATAATACAAGCAGCATGGGATTCAGATCACTGAGTAATACAATCAGAGGGCTTAAAGCATGGGATCAGTGGTAAGGGAGGATGAAAAAGTCGCTTAGTACCAAAAGTTTAAATACTTTTAATGTGAGTCTTCCTATATAGATGATATATCACTTCTTTGTGGATTCTCAGCATTACCAGCAGGAACTACATATGAAACAGTGAGGCTCCCAGATCCCAGAGGTAGTCAGATCATAGGAGGCTGCTTCTCAAAACTGCTGAATCTTTAGTGGGATCATATTGTAGCTTCTTGCTGTTGCTTTTCACTTGGTACTTCTAATTTGATAAAATGAATAATACTTATTAATCTGATTATTTCCTAATTTTTAAAATTTGTATCATTTGTTGAACTAATATCTATTGTACAATTTGAGTAACAAATGCCCACAATTTGTTAAAGGCTGATTACAATCCTCATCTTTTGTGGAATGCCTAGAAAGATGAAATCTTGACTATACTCACAATTTAACAAACTCCAAATTAATATTATGGTGTATTTTTAAAGAAAAATCTGTTTTTCTTTTATCTAACAGACCATTGTGCTCATGAGTGACCTGGCTACTACTCTGGACGCACAGGGCCACTTTGATGAGGCCTATATTTATATGCAAAGGGCATCAGATCTGGCAAGACAGATAAATCATCCTGAGCTGCACATGGTACTCAGTAACCTAGCTGCAATTTTGATACACAGAGGTAGGTAGCCTTGGAAACTTGACAGACTTGCTTTAGGAAGGGATATTTCTTACTTATGAATTTGTGAAATGGTATTTAAAGGAAGGTAAGGGGAAATGCGGAAACTCCTAAAATTAAAAGGCTGGTTGAATAAGGCCAAAAACAACATGTCTGTTAGGTTGACTTCTATATTTTTGCATTAGCCCGATGAACCATTATCAAGCTAGGGAAAACTTTGTAGTGCTTTAAAGATTGCTGTTCTCACAACTATACTGCATTTCTGTGTTGGCAAAACTAGTGTGATTAGGAATGTGTGTGTTAGCACACTATGATACATACTGCTTAGGGCTTCACCTGCAATTTTCAGAAATATAAGATAACATGTCACCATACACAGATCATCATAGTGTAGTCCTTGGCCAGTCCAGTGAAGACCCTAGGGTATACCAGAAAGGACATAGTAAGGAATCCCAAAACACTCAGTGGCTTGGCGTTTTACACATTCCAGGCTAAATCAGCTTGTCATTTTGGGATAAAATGAGGCAGTACCAGCCTTGTCACTTACTAATAAATACACAGTAAATTACACCTGTATCCTCATTAATGCTTTCTCTTCAGATTCACTTTGAAAACACATTTTCTTCTTATTCTTCCTTTTTTCTGGGTTATTTTAGAACGATATACACAAGCAGAAGAGATCTACCAGGAAGCACTGAAGCAAGCAGAGATGAAAAGAGATGAGGTTTCTGTACAGCACATCAGGGAAGAATTGGCTGAGCTGTCAAGAAAAAGTAGATCTTTGACTTAATATTATCAAGTGTTAAACCCATTTTTTTTTTTTTTGTAGGGAGGGTAGTTTCTAGTGGCCTAAAGGAATAACTATTATTCTAGTGTCTGTGGCACCCAAATCAATGGTGTAAATTTTCTGTTCTTGATATTCAGGTTTCCTCAACTTAGCCTTGGTGAAGGACAAGTTGTACATACTGCCACATTTGTTTTTAAAGGAAAAACAACTTTCACCCTTCACTAATTATGACCTCTAAGGATTGATGTCAAATGATGCTTTCCATTGTATTATATGGATAGGTGCTGTCCATGCTGGTCTAAGTGTAATTATAGATTAAGATGGGCTACTTTTCCTCTGGGTTGTGGGTGTGGGGGTCTGGTAATTATGCCTAACATCGCTACCGAAAGATTTTTGGTTCACTGATTTGCTGCCCTTTCTTCTTTTACTTTGTCAATATCTGGCAGACCAGAGCTACTCATGGCAAAGGGAAATTATGGTGAGTTGTTTCTATTACCTTTCATGAAGCACAGTGGGATTTAACACACAGAGGAGGAAAAGTGTTATATTAGTTTGTCTGTACCCAGCATGAAGTTTTAAAATGGGAATTAGGCAATTGAAAGTGTAGTAGCCTTTTGGTCATAAATAAAAGTGAACTATTTATCTGGTTATATGTAACTATTAATGGTTGGGTGGAAGAATGATGGAACCTCTTTCTTGCCAGTGGTATCCTGGAGCATCTGACATTTTTTGCAACTGTGAGGTCACAAAACTGAGTCATCTGAGATCCTCTTTAAAGCAATGCCTGGGCTGTACCCTAGACCTGACTAGAATATGGCCCTACCAATGTAGATTTTAAAATTCCCAACCTTGATTCTACTTAGTATCCTCTTCTGTAACATGAGGAAAGAATGAGATTCTTAGCCATGGGAGAAAGTATCTGGTCAGATGACTTTAAATGAGTATACTGCTGTGTTGAAAGAGCTTTATTGCCCTGCCTCAAAGTATGTAAACACAAGATACATAGATGGATTTCCTTACCTCAGCAGACTTGCAAAAAGCCATTTGTTTAGGGGGAAGGATAGTTTTTCTAGGTGCCATTAAGGAACACTGATATTGTTGATATGCCTTTGTGAGTGGGGTGTGAGTGGAATTGGTAAACAGATATTTTGGGTTCATATGTATACACTGGAAGTATCTTTTCATAATAAACTATACAACAATATTGTATGTATTCCAGTAGTCTTTTAGTTTCTCAGAAAAATAACTTGTTGAAGAATTAAATGTAGTGTCAACCACTCACCTTCTATATTGAAAACGTTTTTACCTTTTCACAATTGCAAGCGTTACCAGAAGTTAAGTTTTTCACTCCAAGTTTTATTTAAGAATTTTTAATCTTCCACAATGATTCGGTTTGTGGTTGCTCTCCTGGAGAAACTGAATTTTCAAAAAGTCTCTGCATGCGGGTATTCTCATGAAAGTTGTTATAAAACAAGGTAGTGAAGCAAGAAAAGGACCGACCTCCTTTACTGATAGGTTTGAATTTAAATGTAAATGTTTAAAATAGTGTAGTTTGAAATTTTGAACTGTACTGTGTCTTATGTCACTGGAATTTTCAGGGCATAAATATATTCAAAGTATAATCAACATACCAAAATTAAAGTATTGTGAAATATCCAACTATAAACATAAAATGGAAAATTGTGAAAATACTTCTATCAACAGTATTGGAAGACCTTGATTATGTTCTGAGTGCTAAAAATCATGTTGTAAGGATGACTTTAAATCTCAGCCTGCCAAGATGTTATATGCCTTGGTTTGCACCTAACTTCAGCAAGTTATCAGTCATTCTCAAATGCTATGTTTGAGATTTACATCATGATAAGACGTACCTCTGCCCCTCTTAAATAATTTGCTTTGTAGGTAAGCTGTATGAGAATTCTTTTTATTGTTTTTGACCTAAAAAATGATGGATTTTTATCTCCCATTCTAAAATCTCTTCTCCAGGTGATGATAGATGGAGCATTACATAAATGTGTTGGGATGAGGATGGTGTTAGTGGCAGCTCACCTTGGGGTGCTTGAATGGAACTGCAAAAGTGACAAGTTAGGCTCTGATCCAGTAGGTTCTCAGAAACTAACCTAACTTGGGATAGATAGCTTAAGACCCTCAGGATCATAGAAAAATATCATGATCTGTTTGGGTCAGTTGGCAACAAAGTTCAAAAATATTATCAGTACCTGAAAAAAAAAAACCTTTAAGCAGAAAACATTCATTAGAACATTTAGATGTTATTTTCCATTCACATTAAAATTATGTTTGATTATTATTATAAAGGCCTCAACTTTGTAAATAATAGGAACTCCGACCACTAAGCCTGAGCTAAAGTTTATTTTGAGGACCAAGAAAAGTGTGGACTGACAGATGTAACAGTTTTGATTGCAGACATACATGGGTTAGAGCCTGTTTGTCACTTATTGAATGATATGGGCCTGTGTCTGTAAAACAGGTGATAGGAGGGTCTCAGTCAGCAGTTAATCATAGACCCGTTTACCTAAGAGGCTTGAAAAGATTTATCTTAGGTTTACTTGAAAGTCTATAAAATGCTAATTTACTCATTCTGAGACTTCCTTCCAGTTATCAGTAGCATTTCCCCCAAACCATTAGTATTTATATACTGTGGAAAAATGCTTAAATGCTGTGATTAAATTGTATGGAAAAAATTTTAAAAGCAATTCTTAATGATGGATAAAACTGACCCTTCAGTGTAATTAGGACTTAGTCTTTTAAATTATTTGTACCTTGAATCTGAAATGAAAAATGATAGTAAATGATTTCCCAAGGAAACAATGGTGGCGACATGTAGAGATGGAAGAGGACTGTGTGTTCACCATGACACTTGTTCAGGATGTAGCACAAAAGAGAATGAGATAATACACAGATGATCATACACAGATCATTATCTAATTTTATCTCAGTCAATCGTATATCAAACTAAGAAAAATGAGTAAGTTTTTCCTTTGAAACCTGAGACAACAGAGCCTTAAATAACAAATAATCTGTAGCTATGGACAGGGTAGTCAAATTTATTTCAAAACAAAAGCTTTGTTGGACTGCATCAAATGCAGAAGAAAAGGAATACTTAGGGGCATGGTTAAATTACCAGTGTGCATAACAGTGAGGTATGCCTCAAATAAGCCTTTAAAACTTTAAAAACTGAACTATAACATATCCATGCAGTAATATTTTTTTCAGTGCTACTAGTGGAAAAAAAATTTAAAGCCTGCATTGGAAATTACAGTATGGCAGAATTTTGTTGCTCCTACCTTTTGACCCTAATGTATAGATTTTATGACAGGGTCTATGTTAAAAATCTAAACATTTTCACAAAATTTTAAACATCACTGGGAAGCTGAATTTAGAGAGAACAAAATCAGATAAAAGTACAATGCCCGTGACAGCCAACATTATAACTGGGCTGTATGAGGTTTGTAGAAGGCTAGGGTTAAAAAGATAGACAAAAAAGATTTTAAAAAATTACCCCCAACGTTGATGCGCTGATTTGAACATAAGTACACCAGATACTACAGCAAGGGGATACACTGCAAAAAGGTCATCTATTTACATAAGAGTGATTTAAAGACATTATGATTTTCTTTATAAACAGATGTAAGAACAGAAATTGTCCACTTTTGAAACTACATTTCAACCCTCCACTATTATTAGAATCCACTGAATAGCCTGTATCAGAGGCAGTTCCCCCCCACCCCCATTTGATTTTCCAAATGAATTTCCATCATTTTTTCTTCATCTGTGGCACTGGCCCTCCTGAAGTCTCTGGGCACAAGTTATGGGAGGGCAGGTTTTTGACCTGCAACTGAAAATAAAATTACCAAAAAACTAAAGCTCCCTCCTCTGTGCCCATTCCCTGCTTCCCATTCCTTCCCTGTGCAGTTCAGTCATCACTATCGGATAGAGTCTCATACTGTGCAGAGAGCAGAGGGGCTGGCTCCCGCTCCCAGATCCGGTTCTGTTGGTGAGGAGCTGCTTGGTTCACAGCAGAGGGAGCACATGCAATGGATGTTGGTGGTGTACTGCTGAGCATCCGCATAGTCAGAGGGTTAAAAGGAAACTGAGTTGAGCCTGGCAAAAGAAAAATGAGGTCTCAGTGTCATACACATACTTGCTGTTTCATCCAATACCACCTAGGTTGGATGGAGTAGCACAGAATTACTTTGCTAAAATGGTCTTGTGACACAAGGACTAGCATTTCAGCAATTAAGATTCTAGCTAGTGACATGCAGCAATCAGTGCAAGCATAAAAAGGTTGAATAATGAGAGTAAGCACAAGGGTTGCTGAACCCAGGGCTGGACTTTCAGTTACCTCTATAACTATTATTATGTTTCCATAGAGAATCACACAGAACTACTGAATATTAAGCCATTAAGTCCCAAATTTTCAATTCTGTGATTATTTCAATGAAATGAAAGCAATAGAAACAATATGGATTTATATATTCAGACGTTCTATTTTCGCAAAAGAACAGACCTCCAAAAACAATTATTTCAAAGTTACCATAAGTAGTATATTTGCTGCTCAAGAGAAATGCAACAGTATAATGCTCAGAAGATGAGGGGCCAAGTATCCAGAAACTTCAGCAGGCTAAGGGGCAGCACGATGTGTTTACTTACCACTGGGTAGATATAGAAGTAGGGCACACTAAGAGCCCTGCTACCTTGTGTCCCCTGAACACTTCTCTAGCTTAAGAAACTGAAATCATAAAACATACCATTTTTATGGTCTAACAGTAATTTCTTCCTCAACATGTGAGAAGCAGCTATATTGTCTAGGCTGTAAGCTTTCAAACTGATACACAACTACTTGCCATGTGGCAAGTAGTTGTGTATTAGTCTAATGCGAAATTTTTTTCTCACTGGGAGAGCACATTTGAAAAAATTTTTTTTGGTTACATATAATATATATTTAATCCCTGAGTGAAGAACAGTATATAATTCTCTGAAATACACAGCAAATACCCGATTTATTTTAAAAGAAAGCAAGTCATGCTGGAGTTGTAGCTCAGCGGTAGAGGGCTTGCCTAAAAAGTGTGAGGCACTGGGTGTGATCCTCAGCACCACATAAAAATAAAGGAAAAAAAAATTTATGAAAAGGCACAAAATAACACTTTCATCAGCTTATGTAGATGTAATTTTCTTATTTCTGAACTTGATTTCTTAGCCTTTCATAAAGAAGTTCTTAAGGAAATACTAACAAGGGGAAGTCACTTTTAGGAGTAGCAATTTACATAGACTTATTTGCTTTGCAAATAGCAAATGTTGGTTACCAACCAGCATAAATACAGATGGAAAATGGATGAGATTATTTTCATAGCTCTTTTTAGTTTATGGTATCAGACCCTGCATTAAAAACTTTGAAGATTCTATGCATTCAATTTTTATTCTGGAAAGTGGAACTTATTAGTGATACAGAATGGGAATAAAGTATTTCTAAGTTTTTATAAGAAGGAATGACAAGGCATTGATAGAAGTTGCTTTCTAGTAGTTAAACTGGGCTCCTCACCTGTGGAGGAGGGCCTGTCTTCCCAGGCCCAGCCTGGTGTCTGTCTATGGTAATCACCTTCTGAATGTACAGAGGATACTGATGAGGGCCGTTCAGTTCCTAAATATCCTTGCCCAGGGATAGGAGATTTAGACTTTCTGCTGTTAGACTTGCTCATCAGCTTTGGTTTGCAAACTCCTGCTAAAAGTGAAATCCGAGTTAAACTATTAAATAATTAATTAGTGATACAGATTTATTAGAATGATAGCATAAAAAATCCAGATTCTAGTACACAATGAAATCGCCCTATTTAAAAGAAAGCCGGAATTTCACTTGCAGCAAATACAACAAAGGGGTACATCTTTATGTTATAAACTTAAAATGTGGCAACTAAGGAAATAAATATTGTTAAACATCAAAGCTGGCCTTAAGAATGTGGAAGCTGATGGGCTGGGATTGTGGCTCAGTGGTAGAGTGCTTGCCTGCAATGTGTGAGTTACTAGGTTTGATTCTCAGCACTGCATATAAATAAATGAATAAAAAAAATGTCTATCAACATCTAAAAATAAAAAAGAATATGGAAGCTGTGCTAAAAAATAGAGAAGGTTTGCACAATCTTAAATTCTTACCTGCTCTCTCTGGCTCTCAATTTGAAAGAAGTAAATGGTGTGGCAGTGATGGTGGGTGAGGGGTGTTAATTACACCACTGAAGTGTACATCAAAGGGAAAGTATTTAGCAAATGTCTCTTTATGCCACTATGGGACCTCAGCAGAGGTATATTTTCTCAGGCTCTGTTTAATTCATAGGAGTCACAGAGCTAAACCCCAGCCCTTATTTATTTACTTACTTACTTTGACTGGGCTCTACAATAACGCATGTATATATATATAAATGTATGTGTGTGCACACACACGCACTGGGGATTGAACTAAGGGCCTCAGTGTATGCTGTGCAAACATTTTACCACTAAACCACATACTAAGCTCTAGAAAAAAATATCAGACCTCAAAAGAGATCAGAGCTCAGGTCACCAGCACAATTTCTCAGTCCCAATAGAATAATTTTCACCCTATCCCAAATCCTATATAACCAGGCTCATAATTCCATTCACAATCATAACCTTCATGTATATTTTTTTAAAATGTATTTTTCAATTGTAGATGGACATAATACCTTTTATTTTTTATATGATGCTGAGGATTGAACCCAGTGCCTTAGGCGTGCTAGGCAAGCACTCCACCACTGAGCCACAACCCTAGCCTGACTTTCTCCTAAAAATCAATACAAACTAGAAGGTAAGCAGGAAGGAAAAGACAATGCTCATTTTTTTAGAGTAGCTATCTTTATAGCTACACTATCTTTAGCTTAATTATGTTTAGGTTAAAAAAAATGTCTAATCTCTTTAATCTTTTCCTTAAACATAGTGAGAGCTTTTGCTTGAAGATAACAGAAGAAAATAAACCTAAAAACTGAAATACTGCTGAACTTCAGGTAAATTTTTTAAGTATAAAAGATATTAATTCTGAAATGATTAAGAAAATTAAGAAAAAAGTTGTTTAGAGTAAATAAAATTTTTGTATGCTTGGTTTTAACAGGAGGTAAAAAATTATCTAATCCAACTTTTTTATCTGTGTGTACATTAAGATGTGCCTGGAATAATGCTTCTCCAGTAGCAGCAGCAGCAGCACTACTTTCTAGATGATGTGATCCATATGGCTTAAGCTTACACTGTGCCTGTCGTTTTTTCTTACAATTGGAAGTCACTTTTATTAAAAAACATGTATGCTTCTGTCATGATAATGTACAGGTAAGTACAGATATGTACTGGGTATAGTGCCACATGCCTGTAATCTCAGCAACTCAGGAGGCTGAAGCAGGAGGATCACAAGTTCAAAGCCAGCCTCAGCAACTTAGTGAGCGCCCCCCCCC